ATCTTACAATAATGCCCCCACTTCTCCGAATGCAGCTTGTCTACAAAAGTGCCTACAATATTGGGGCTGCTTTGAGCCGTGACCTCCGTTTCGATCTTGACAGCAGCCTCAATAGGCCACATTTCTTTGACAACCAGGGAGGAAAGGAAGCTCTATTGTACAGGGAAAGTTATCAAACAGGCATTGAAACGTTGAAGCTTAGCCAACTGTGCAATGACATTAGGCTGAAGTATCACACAGTCCTTGTCCCCAAACATAATATCACAGGTCAAATTTTAGAAAATTCTGCACTTGATCAGGGTAACAAAATTGTCTTGTCCAGTGTGGATTCGCACTCGAAAGTACCCATTTCTGTCGATTCAGCTTGTCTTCAGCTACCCAAATCAATTGGCCCACCTAGTTTGTACAACCTTCCACAAAAGCACTGTCTTCCTCTGATTTTACCTCTGGCCACTTACGCCTACCAGACAGCAGGAGGGGAAATCAGTCTTCCTGCCTTCAACTTACTGCAACAGTTCCACTTTCAACTGCTTTTTATATTCTTTTGCCTTCTGATTGAGTTCGAAGCTTTTTTGGAACGTACGAAACAGCATGGCAGAGTCGCCTTTATCGTTTTGCGAAGGATCAACAGGCAGGTCTTATTTCTTGTCTTTTTCGTGTTTATGGAGCTCCTTTCGGGGGCTGGGAATTATGGCAGGAGGGTACCCCCGGATGAGAAGACCAGTTATGGGAGAGCTAAATCGTCTGGAGGGTTGCCGAGTGGCTCAAATGATGAGGGTATGATGGGAGGAAGAAGAAGCGAACGGTTTACCGGTGGAAGTCCGGGGGGAGGAGGGGCAGGGAGTAGTGGAGGAGGGGGTGGGCGAGAGGGTGGTGATGGGGGGAGGAGACGAGAGGAGGAAGAGGATTCCACATCCCAATCGGATTCAAACGAGGAGGAGGAAGAGGGGAAAGGAGGCACGAGTAAGAAGAAAAAGCGACGTAGAAAGCTTAGTGATAGACGCCGTAGGCCTCGACTTTCAACTATACATGAGTATGAGTTGCCGCAGATGCTTCCAGTGGATGCCCCTTCATACATGCCTTTTCCAAATATACCACTGTTGCCACACGAGCAACAGCCATCACTACATGAGCCTGAATCTTTGCCTTTTCCGAATACACCAATTTCACCACACGAGCAACAGCCATCACTACATGAGCCTGAATCTTTGCCTTTGCAATCCCCACAAGCTGCTACTAGTGCTGCTTCACACTTTGAACCAGAAGGAGATGAACCGAACGATTGTAAGCCAGTATTTAAAGCAACAAAGGAGGAGTCTGCTCAAGGACAGGTGTCTGGGTCTGAATGTGTGGTGCCTCCAAAACAACCAAAAGAGATGACTCCGAAAGCTAATACACACCACCCGTGCTCGGGAGGACCACCTTTTCCTGGCCCACCGTCACCGATGAAAACAGTGAAGTCCTTTAAAAAAAACAAGTCAGCCTCGATGCACAAGCATTCACCGCACAGCGCTTTTCACACTGAGCTGCAAAATTCTCACACTCCGCCCTACTACAGTGATGACTTGGGATCGGTAATGAATGTGGGTCAGATGTGCACGTGCTCGTCTCAGGACAAAGTCATCCGCAGCGAGACAACGGAGGTCCTGATGCTGCTCAGGAGCAAGATGGGAATTCTTCCGGTGCCTGTGGATACCAAGCTCCCCACAATCTCCTCCCGAACTTTCAACAGCAGGTCAGCCAGAACGTCGACATAGTGCAACCAGCAATTATTGTCAACGAAGAACGTGTTAGTGAGGAGGAGGACAGCACGATTTCAAGTGAAGAAGAAAACTAACTGGTCAGTAGGAGTGATTGATGATTCCGAGATCTCGTTTGGCTTCAGCTTGAATTATTCAGCTCTCATTTGAAAGAGGTTTCGCAGGTGGCGTGGGATGTATAGCTATACATCTCAGTCATCAATGTATGCTCTCTCGTCTCATTTTTCTATCAGTTGCTCCACTGATCACTCATATTTTCTCTTTGCGTCAATCATTCTTTAGACCCAAATTCATTTTTCAATCTTGATTCAGAGGCCAATATATGCATTGGCGCCACTGGGCATGCGCGTGTGTAGGTGTATAGCTAACTAGCTGGGGATATAAGGAGGGGAATAACTAACGAGGGGGTAACCCAGGTGTTTACGTGCGGCCAGCGCATCATAAAAGAGGCAGTGAGCGCCGGACGGTACTGTCAACTACTGCCATGGAGCCCTACATTTGAGACAGCAGCGGTGATGATACGAAATCCTCTAAAGTAGTGCTGTCAGAGAAACTGTATGAGACTATCTGCAGAAAACAGTACAAAAACATTATATATACACATGCCACGCATATATAACTTTACCATAGAAGGTTATACATCCACATATATACAGCTATTGTACTACTATAATGCATACCCTCTCGGTGATATGGTCAGGAATGTAGGACCGAGAAGGCAGAAGTGTCGACGAGGGTCTCAAGTGATGAGCAGAAGGAGGAAGAGCAACAATAGCATAGTAGGTACAAATTACTAACGGTTTGTGTGGATACTATGGCTGCTGTTTTCCCCACATCAAAGAAAGACATAAACGTAGATTTGGCAATTGAATTCATTAACACCTTACAAGGAAAACATGTGATGATAGGAAATCCTCCAAAGTAGTGCTGTTGGAGAAACTGTATAAGACTATCTGCAGAAAACAGTACAAAACACATTAGCCAATGCTTACGTGCATATATGCTTTACCATAGAAGGTTATACATCCACATATATACAGCTATTGTACTACTATAATGCTCGGTGATATGGTCAGGAATGTAAGGACCGAGAAGGCAGAAGTGTCGACGAGGGTCTCGAGTTATGAGCAGAAGGAGGAAGAGCAACAATAGCTGTCCCGCTCTGTTGACCGCACCTCCACAGAATATCGGTCAGAGGCTGACACTAGAGCTGTGTTTCTTTGTTCTGAGTCAATGGTGATGACCTCGTGAGGAAACAGGATACATATGCAATCAAAATCATCGACTTGTATTCTATTGTGTTGCCACAAAGCACAAAATGTCACTTGTGTTTATTCAAGAGCCACCGCCCTAGTGTACACACGTGGCAAAGAGGTCTCTTCAAATCATGCCTCGCAGTATGATTTGTCTGGTGCATGTGAAAACTATGAGGTAGAAAGGCATAGGCACAACAAACAAATCAACTACACCCAGGACAGCTCTTTTTTTCCAAGAGATAAAAGAGCTGCCCTAGGTGGGATTCGAACACACACGACACTCTGCAGTGCTAGCGCGAGCGCTCTACCAACTGAGCTACCAGGCAACTCAGCTGGTAGGGGTATCGAATCTACAACCAACACAACACAACACAAAGGTACACCTCAAACCACTATGCTGTGCTATAGCACAGTATACTCTCACTTAGCATGCCATGACCGGCAATGTCATACCACATGGTATTAATAGGACTGTGTCTTATGGTGTGATTCTCATTCTATTTCACCTTTTTACCTCATGTGACGGGGACCTTCACTGAACAGTAGATGTCTGAGGAGATATGCCTGGATGCAGGCCATCACACCACACGGGCCTCCCTATGTATTACAGTTGATTGAGGATTCAATTATATACAGTGAAATCTCTGAGTAAGGGACACCTTGGGATGAAAGTGTCCTTTACTCAGAGGTGTCCCCTAATAGGAGGTAATACGATTAGTATGGGGTAGAACCAAGTGTCTTTAATAGAGAGGTGCATCCTTTATTCAGAAGGTCATTTTAAAGGACTAGGTGGAGAAATGATGATGCTCTTTTACCTTATGTTGCACCAGTCCATATTCAAGACCAGGAAGCTCGCAGAAGGAGAAGTCTTGACGTCTCCATTCAGCGTTGAACGACGGTGCACTAACTGATCCGAATATCAGTTCTCTCAGATCCTATTCAACACAGCAGGTCTACAATTAGAACAGTCTTGTGTAGCACCATCTGTGTAATATTATACTGGTTCTTTCTTCTGCATAATACTATAATACACTACATGCCCCTGCCACCTATATTGCTTCCTTTTTTCAATGCAGATCCCTAATTTCAAGGATCCTGGGGCACACCGCCAAGCCCCCGTCCACCTCCCTGACGCCATTAGGTCTCTGGTCCTGCCCGCAGCAAGAACTGACTGGGTGTCCATTCAGGATACCGACGTACCCCACAGTCAACACAGCCTCTCTGGAGCTATTCATGCAGGTGACTGGTTAAATGTCGTCCCATCCTCTGCCCTGGGCCTCCACCTTCTGGATCGGGAATTCCGATTCTGCCTGCAGTACTGGTTGGGTCTCCAGATGTTCGAGGAGGGTCTAAGGTGCCCCGTTTGTCATGCCGTCGCCGACCCCTTCGGGGACCATCAAGTGGGTTGCGGAGGAAACTGTGATAGAATCCTCCGACATAACTTCCTTCGGGATGCAGTTTTTTCAGCAGCTCAGTCAGCTGCCTTGGCGCCCCGAAGGGAAGTCCCCTCTCTGGTCCCCGGTACCCAGAGCCGGCCTGCCGACATCTACCTCCCCTGCTGGAAAAGGGGCCGCCCAGCTGCTCTGGATGTCATTGTCAGCTCCACATTGCAGCAATCAACCGTCCGGGGTGCTGCAGAAAATCAGGGCCACGCTCTCTTGGTTGCCGAGGAGAGAAAGTTTGCTTCTCACGGTGCTGCCTGCCAGGCCGTTGGCATCACTTTCATCACTTTCATCCCCCTCGCCATAGAGTCCCTAGGTGGCGTGAGTGACATGGCTGCTGAAACGATCTCCAGCCTAGGCCGTCTTTTGGGCCAGCGCTTGGGGATCTCTCCAGTTGAATTGACTCGTCATCTCTACCAGCAATATTGCTCTGGAGGGGAAACGCATCTGCCTAGATTCATCGTTGTCCACAACTTGCTCCCTCTTTAGACGGTGTAATTTGACTTCCTTGTTTGTGCTGTTTTGTGTTCTTGCATTTTTTGGGTTTTTTTGTTCTTTTTTCCCTTATTTGTTTTTGTCACTTAAAATACTGAATTTGTGTTGTTTTGTGTATTCTTTTTTTGTTTGTCCTTTTTTTCCGTTTTGTTCCTTATCCTAAAAAAAAAAAATCAAAAGTGGTGTCAAACGTTGTTGCCCGTAAGCGAGCGCAAAATTTTCCGATTGCATCATCTGGTGTTGCGTAATAACATAGTTGCTGTGTCGCCGACCACCAACGACAGTGCCTGGCGTGGCCTCCTGTCTGTCTCCTCCTGTATTCTTGATTTTAGGCCAGATCATGAAGTGAGTTAAAGCTATTCCCGTGAAGAATTTTCGAGGAAAGCGTTTTGAGTTACTTTTCGCGGCGCGCAAGCTAGGCCTATAGCTTTGCACATTAGCAGGTAGGTGGTATATACACCTAGAAAGAGCCCACACGTAGATAACCGTAGAGAGTCTCGCGTGTCTGTCCCACGCTGCGGAGAAGAAACGGCGAGGCGAGGGTGTCCGGTATGGGGGGTAATCAGTGCCAAAACCACCTTTTGTGCCTTATGTGGTCTTGAGCACATTATGTAGCAGCCCTTTATGTAGATGAATGGGGAGTTTGACATTATGTAGTACACTTTACATTATGTGGTAAGTCTTGTCTTAGCTTGTAAGTTTGGCATTATGTAGCAACTTTCTCATGTAGTTACTCCTCTGACAACCAGCAGGAAAGTTCATTACTGCACTGCTGTTACTCTGTTCAACGTCATACAATTCTATGCGCATGCGCACACCCAGCCATCCTCTCTTGGAGGGCGGAGTCTGGGGGCACGAGCGTGTACGTGCTGACTCGACAGTCTTACTTTTGAGACGCCGAATCAGATTGCAGTATTTGCTACGAGCGTGAAATATCACATGATGTTATGTAATAGATCGTAACGCAGCTCCGTGGATTCCGCGTGTCCTCGAACGAAAACGGGCTTTTCTGTGCATGCACTCGGCAATACGAGTCAGCACAATCACAACAATAATAGTCACCAGACCCCCCCCTAGCTAGCTAGCTCTGAGCGAGGGCGGGGTCTGAGCATGAGACTATGGGGGCCGCGGGCGGCAGTACCGAATGAACTTTGAACTTTTACAACTGCGTACTGGCTCGCTCTGGCTGAGGCTATATACGTATAGCTCGTAGCGCGTTGAATGTCCTGAGTTTGTCTCCTACCCCCGCCTCAGCGAGGTCGCACGTAGACCCTCGAAGGCAATTCGCTAGTTCTGCGCTGGTTGAGCGCAGTTGTTTGTTGAGAAGGGGCAAGATGGTATATAGCTGGGTTGGCCCTCTAAGAAAAAGAGCTAAGCATGTGGGTTCATGCTTTCGTTTGCCTGTCCGAGGACGGATGAGGGCAGGACTCCCGGGGCTATGGAAAGGGCCGCCCACCTGCACCCCCTGGAAGCTACATAATGCATAGGCTACCATAAAATGAAAAATTAACTTAACAGTAATAACAAATGAAACTCACACCATAAAAATATATAGCTGAAGCTAAAAATAAATGAAAATGCACTACATTATGTAAAGTGTGCTACACAATGTGTATGTTGTACAATCCACTACATAATGTCAAACTCACCATATCATCTACATAAAGGGCTGCTACTCAAGACCACATAAGGCGCAAAAGGTGGTTTTGGCACTGATTACCCCCCATACATTACGTGTTTCCCACGTAATTATTGCATAGTCTTGTATCAGGAGAGAAATGGTCTGGTGTCCCTCACGCTAGAGACATATCCCATACAGGAAAATGCTTATAGTTGCACATCACTAATAATAATTACTCAGTTCCTCAGTTATAGTCATTTTCTTTTTCTCCCATAGTAACGTAATCACCTACAGTGACCCCATAATTCCAAGCAGAACACTATTTGATCTCCCTCCTCACGAAGCTATTGAACCAAAGATAGAGTCAAATGAAAGTATTAGCAAAACTTTGAACGATTCTAATGAAGTTAACATTTTACAGAAGAATAAGGACTCTATGAAGAGCAACTTCCTGAGAAATATATGCATCAATCGAATTCCAAATAATGAACTAGAAGAAAAATGTTATGAAAATGACTCCCAAGCAGTAAATCAAGCCAGGCTAGCATTCAGTGGCATGGCAACATATTATCGTCATAGGGTCAAGAAAGAGATTACTCGAGATGTTACTATCACCATTTCCCGTGATAGAATTATATGCATAATTGGGAGCAAGATATTTAAGACTATACTCCATGCAGTCTACTCTCCACTAGAACTCCCGTCAAAGGTGATTACTTCCAGCGACAAGGAGATGGTGGCTCTATTGCTAGCCTTCAGGACAAAGAGAGGGCAGGCTGTTCTTAGTAAACTCCTAAACTCAGAAATGCAAACAGCTAGTGTATCTGATACTGACATGGTATACCTGACCGACACTGTCAATTTGATTTTGCATGGTAATGGATTTCAAGCACTCACAATTGGCACTGCTGTAGGTGAGGCAGAAGACAGTTTGTTTTCATTTCCTAACGAACGCCATTGCCTGAACTCTGGGTTTACCACCCAAAGACGGCACTTATTACAACACAGACGGAGAAGCACTGTTCGCGACGCTTTTTCCAGTTTCAGAGAAAGTTTACATAAGATATCTGCTCATTCAAAAAGGATTCACACTGATGATGATGATGATGTAATTCTCAACAAGGACTATACCACAATATACTCTTCGTTTTCGGAGTATCCCCAGCAGTCGAAAGTTCCAAACTTGGCCAAGATGACGCGTCCTTCTCTAACTGTCACTGCTAATGTTGAGGAGTCGAAACTTGAACCAGATAAAAATCTGAATGATGAGGATGAATTGCAGACTAGTGCTGCTGACTTGGCCAACACTGCTATCATGCTATTCAAAAAGGGGTCGGCTGTAATTTCTGCGGCTGCAACCGAGCTAGACGATGAAGTGTTCAAGTTTCATGGAATAGAAGTTCCATTTCAATGCCAAAACCTCCAAAACAATGGTTGTCGCGTCTCCACCACTGATGTCCGTGTCTTTTCTAGCAACGCAGATCCCCGCACTCCAAGCCTGAGTCCTCAAAACTCTCATGACAGCATCTCATCCGGTGATGAAGATTTCGATCGAGAGGAGGTAGTGCAACAACCTTTCTCATCTGAGGACTCTGGCAACTTGTCTCACTCCGTCTCTTACTCACAGCACGGCCAAACAGCACACTCTATCTCCCTAGTCTCAGACTCCTCTCCCGCTACCAATTCGCCTCCCTCATCACCACACGCTGAAATAACGCCTCCCTCATCACCACACGCTGAACTAACGCCTCCCTCATCACCACACGCTGAACTATCTCCACCCCTCTCTCTTCCGTATTTCCAACCAGTAGAAGAAACTGGTCCTCCTTGTAGCATTGAAGAACAGCAAATTTCTCCTCTCAATGACGCGATTCCTTCCCAAGTTACTCCTAGCATTACTTCCTCCCAAGAAGACCAAAGCAGTAGCGAATCCTCGCAAACTACACCGGATAGCGATGAAGGCTGGCCCGCAAACAGCCAAATTGAAACAGTAAACGGCACACGGGTGAGAGAAGATGCAGTATTGTTGGTAGGTCCTCATTTAATGCCAAGTGTCCAAGACTGTAACGACAATCTCTCTCCCGGCTCTGAATATAACCCACAACAATCACCACACCAGCAAGACTACGCAAATTCCAACTCTTACTATCAGCAGATGCAGTCTACTGCAAACGGTCAGATTGAAACCAAGGCAAAAAAGATCGAATGCTTTGCTGGTGTGGCAGGTCCTCGATCGCCTAGCTCAAGCCCAGAAAACTCCCTCAGCATCTCTTCCCTTATCCAACAACCAGGACCCCAGCAGTACTTGTCTGACTCAGGCAATTCGTCTCACACTGACTCACGAAACTCTGCACCCAACCAGTCCTCACCCAGAGCATATTCAGAGCGTAACGGTTCAACGTCATCGTCTTCTTCCCGCTCACGCTCAAATCCTCCATCATCACATCTGGATCTTTCTGCACCTCCGTCACTTCCAATTGCACCTGCTATTGATGAACAGGGCTGTCAACCGAGCTCCACAAATGAGCTGCAGCATCAAAGACCCTCACCTAACGACCGTTTTCCCTCCACACAGTTCTCTTCCATTTCCAGTCGTAGTAGTTCTTCGGAATTCGTATCGGACATTAGCAGACACCTTTCAGACAGTGAGTTTTTCACAGCAGCCGTTGACGTTGCAGATAACCGGTCTACACCTTCTGTTCTTGTCAGTGGCAACACAACTTTCCCTCCACCATACATCAAAAGGGGGAGACTTGAACAGTTGCCGTCCCCTCAATGTGAACAGGATTCCTCGGGCATCGAACCCAGGTGTCAACAAGGTTCTGTAAACGAGCTACATGAGCAAAGACCCTCCCCTAATACCCGATCTTCTTCCCCGGTCCCTGGAATCCCCAGTCGCAGTCCGTCTCCAGAACAGTTCGACTCAGACGTCAGCTGTCACAGCTCCGACAATGAGTGGGCCGTGCCTACCATAGACACAACTGATCATGCAGCTACAACTGCTGTTCTTGTCAGTGGTGTGTCTCCTCAGCAACCCCCACTCCACGAATGAAACACACGAACAGCTACCGTTTCCCCAGTCCAAACCTTCCACGGAGTTTGCAGACATCAGTGACAGTTGCACAATCAATAACTGAACCTTGCGTCTTCAATACCCTCTCCCTATCCTCTCGGCTATAGCAGTTTCTTCATTCGAAGAAATTTCGAGATGTGGATATATATAATGTTCAAGGACTGACCCCCTATTGTGCAATGTTTATGTCCCATCAGTATTGGCCTAAATCATTTTTATCACAGGTAGAGTTTGGTGCTCTCATTCCACCTACACTTTGTGCGCATGCGCGGCCAGACGTTCTGCGCGAGAGGCATACTAGGTTATGGTGGGGGGCATTGCGTAATTATTCCTAAATCTAGCGTTGATGGCGTGGTGGTAGAAATTTCCATACCGTACCGAGGCATCGAAAGAAGATCGAACGATCGAGCGTAGACAGCTTAATACAGCCGTGTGTCTGCTCGTCGTCTCTCCTACCCTCCCATGCCTTCTTTCGCAATGTTTATGTCCCATCAGTATTGGCCTAAATCATTTTTATCACAGGTAGAGTTTGGTGCTCTCATTCCACCTACACTTTGTGCGCATGCGCGGCCAGACGTTCTGCGCGAGAGGCATACTAGGTTATGGTGGGGGGCATTGCGTAATTATTCCTAAATCTAGCGTTGATGGCGTGGTGGTAGAAATTTCCATACCGTACCGAGGCATCGAAAGAAGATCGAACGATCGAGCGTAGACAGCTTAATACAGCCGTGTGTCTGCTCGTCGTCTCTCCTACCCTCCCATGCCTTCTTTCGACTGAGAAGAGTCAGATGCGTTTCTGAGTAGCAATGAAGTGAGTAAATAACGGATCAGCTTTGTTTTGTGGGTGTAGCTACAGCAAATTGGCTAGCGGTACCGCTTTTGCTTTGGTCTCTAAAACACGCTTTGGTGTGCCTACTGTACATACAAAAAAAGTCACTCCTGGTTATTTTACAGCACCCGTTGGCATACAATAACATTGTGAGTAGCTAATACTATTGGTTTACCCCTGTGATTTCATACTGTGTGTGCTTTTTAATACACACTGAACTATTTGTTGCATGCATAATGTGTGATGTGCCCATTTTTAGGCCGGAAGACAAGAAATCGCTCAACGACAATCACACCAAGAGCCTCTACAATCAATGCAAAATTAACGAAGAGGCTTCGAAAGAACTAACGAACTCGAACAATGCTTCCAAATTAGAACCACACTCGAAAACAACCAACCTGAAATCCAACCCGACCGCATCTTCGACAAACCAGATCTCCAACAGCTCCCCACCACCTCCAGACAACAGCAGAACCACCAGCGAGAAAGTCAACACACAGGTATCCAGTACCACCAATGCTGAACCGCCCACACAGCAACTTGAGGAAAACGTGATTGAGGATACCCCAACTGAAAACACAAGAAATGGATCAGAAATACCACCCGAGGAACAAAGCCTAGTGATGGTTGACAGACGGTCGAGTGCCCAGTGGTCTGTTGTGTCTGGAATGATAATGTCGAATCCGTCGAAGTTTCTGCCTCAAATCGATCACGTTCGAGGTGGGAATAGAGTCTTTGAGCACGTAAAGAGGGCAACAAAGGCAATTTTCAAGCACAAATCGCGAGCTCCGTCTCACGCCCGTTCAAACCAACGCTCACCCCAAACTCCGTTGCCACTTCAGCCCGTTGATTCAGTCCACACGTCACCTTATTTCACCAGCGTTCTTCACCAGCAGTCCGTTTACAAACAGAACTCCATGATACAATCAGTTTCTTTGCTACCTAAAGTCGATGTCAGGAGCCAGTACGGTGGAATGATGGTGCCAGTGACTGGTGGTGACAAATCATCTGGGGGAGGGGGAGCGATTGGGCGAGGGTGTGGACGGTAAGGACAAGGTGAAGGGGGGCAGTGGAGGAGCGACTGTGGGGTGGTGGCCGCCGTGCGTTCCGCGGGGAGCAGCTGGAGTGGGGAGGAGCCGGGGAGAGGTAGGAGAAATAAGAAAGGAGCGGGGTGGTAAAGATGAAAGAGACGACAGAAGGGACGACAGTGCAAGGCGAGGATGACGAAGAGAAAAGGGCGACAGGAAAGCAAGGAGATGCAAGAGAGGAGCGAAGAAGAGAGAGGAGAGAAGACCAGTGTGACAGTGGCATAAAGCGTGTCGGCATCCCCATTGTAGCGCCCCATGAGAGTGTCAGTCTCCTTCCCATGAGCATCGTGCTTCGTTGCTACCTCTCCTCTAACCCCTTCAGATAATGCTCCGGCAGTACGGCATGGTCGTCCCTCTTACTCTTGCCCTCAACCGTTGTTTGGTCCCTCTCCTCCTCAACCCTGCCACCTGCAGATCCAGCCGTTCCACTTCCTGCGTCCTCACTCTGCGCGACGACCAGACACATCCACTACTCTACCTGCGCAAAACCGCCCTCATCACCTCCCTCCCTCACTCCCTCGAATGCCAGCTCTGACTCTGCCTTTTTGTCAGGAGAAGAACCACAACATGTATGAGCTGGTTCCGGACACCTCACGCACAGTTTCCGGACCTCACGCGCAGGTTCCCGGCCCTCACGCGCAGGTTCCCGGCCTGGCGCACAAGTTCTCGGGCAGGTGGGTCCCGGGGCACTCCGTGCCAACCAGACGATGACCGCACATCAGATGAAGAAGAGAAGGCAGCAATGGCTGGCCACTTCACTTACCTACTCTTGCTGAGCCGCGTAGTGACTTCAATGTAAACGGTGGGTAACAATACATCATCACTCCATCCCCTCCCCTCTTGGATTCTAACCCTTTCAGCAAGCCATATAATATATATATATGTAATACTATAAACTAAGCGTTAAATGTAATATTATTTAAGGAGATACATATGGTGTTCAAAGGTTAGGATTTTCCCTTTTCACCAGTACTTTTGTACCACTGTCACCTCTCAACGTAATGATACATTGAAGTGCCTTACTCTAATAGCATTGATGTTGGTGTTCAAAGGTTAGGATTTCCCTTTTCACCAGTTACTTTTGTACCACTTTCACCTCTCAACGTAATGATCCATTGAAGTGCCTTACTCTATAGCAGTGATTTATGGTGTTCAAGGGTTAGGATTTTTCCTTTTCACCAGTTCTTTTTTACCACTTTCACCTCTCACGTAATGATACATGAAGTGCCTACTCTAATAGCAGTGATTTACTGGTGTGTCAAAGGGTTAGGATTTTTCCTTTCACAGTTACTTTTGTACCACTTTCACTCTCAACGTAATGATACATTGAAGTGCCTTACTCTAATAGCAGTGGATTTATGGGGTGTCAAAGGGTAGGATTTTCCCTGTTTTCACCAGTTAGTTTGTACCACTTCACCTCTAAACGGAATGATATATTGAAGTGGCCTTACTCTAATAGCAGTGATTTATGGTGTTCAAAGGGTTAAAGATTTTTACCCTTTTTACCAGTTACTTTTGTACCACTTTCACCTCTCAATGTAATGATAATTATTTGTACAGCACTTTGAAGTGCCTTACTCTAACAGCAGTGATTTATGGTGTTCAAAGGGTTAAAGATTTTTACCCTTTTTACCAGTTACTTTTGTACCACTTTCACCTCTCAATGTGCTCAGTTTTGCTCCCAAAATTTATAACACAATGTGTATGTCATGTGCTCCCCTAAAATTTATAACACAATGTGTATTTGCTCCTAAAATCAATTTTTTTCACTGTGGCATGTGCTGTGCATGTGGATGCTCTATAACACGGACTCACATACATAGAGAATGAAAGCACTGAAGTGCAAACCCTCGGCGCACTGTTACGCGCGCGCGTAAGTAAACGCATGCGCAGTATATACCACTAATTGATGGGCTGGGTTTAGTTTTAGTCTCTTGCCAGCTCGCGCACGCGCAGAGTCTGTCGCGGGCTGGCTAACTACACACTACTACTAGATAGCACGCGAGAGGCGATACACGCCCTGCGTTGCATCTTCTGGTGCCTCCGAGGCACGCAGAGCAGAGCACGCGGATCGATCATGCCGTAGTAAGCAGTTGTGTATTTGCATATTGGCTTTTACCCGCTCTAGCTTTGCAACGGAGCGTTTTCAGAGAAAACCTTTCGAAATTTCTGACCTTCATTGCCCGTTCGGTAAGTGGTATCCTTTGTGAGACGAACAAACACCCGAGAAGTGAGATAGAAGTAACGGACACAGACACAGACACACACAGATCGACCCAAGTACCGTAACCCTCGCTGCGCATGCGCGCCGAGGGTTTAATGAGAGTTAGTTGTGTGCACACTGAATATAATATTATACTGGTGGGCAGTGTCAGTCGGAGGGGGTGAGGGGCTTCACTCGCTAAAAATGGCGTGAATTTTAAGATTATTTATGTGCTGCAGTCTCTTGCAGTAGTTTCTTGCAGAAAACTATAAAATGATTAACAATTAACAGTACAACATCCATTCAATTTGAAAGAGTTTAACTTTCCACAAATGAAAAATAGACATCTTATAACCTTCACACAGAGAAGATGAATACAACATTGAAAATTCTTTTGAACGATTGAAAATTGTGCAAGTGACACACTCAAAAAATGACAATATTATGTACAAACCACTGAATAAAACGAGGAGGAGCCCCTGTTATTAGGGCAGTATTATTAATGATCACTGCTAAGCAGTTCTATACGAGAGTTTCTTGAACAAAGCCTCCACTTCCGTTGAGCTTTTGTTGGACTGAAGAGAGATAGGGAGAGAGAGCGTAGGTAAAACACATGTAGACAGTTCTGCTATTGAAGCTACTTGGTTCTAGTTCACTGCACAGAAAATGGGTACAGTTGAGGCATAAGATTTTTATGCATCACGCCATAAAAGTTTCCTGGTAATGAGCAACCTCAACATGATAGCTTACAGTCGATGGCTATTTGACTATTGCATCAAATTTTTTTTATGATAACGTAAAAATATTTTCCTGATGCATACGTAATATGGACGTGTTGCTGCGTACTGTACTTACCGCTGTAAGGTAAAGGTCCTTGTGGTTCTGCAGCTGGTACATTCTGTCTTGTTCTGTAGCCAGTCGAGTTGCTCCCACCACTCCCACGATCTGATTGGTCGACTGGTGCCGAGTGGGCGTGGCTTCTCTGCATGGGAGGTGACCACGCCCCCGGCGACGAGTTGTCTATCCTGAGAGCGGCTGCCATGGTGACCATCTGTTCTTGTTCCTGTCTCTCTCGCTCCTCGGCCTCCTTAGCTGCGGCCGCTGCCAGTTCGAGTTCTCGTTTTTTCTTCTTCTCCTCCGGAGTGTCTATATCAGGTCCTGGGGGAGGAGAGAGAGAGAGAGGAGAGAGAGAGAGAGAGGAGAGAGAGAGAGGGGAGGAGAGAGAGAGAGGGAGGGAGAGAGAGGAGGAGGGAGAGAGAGAGAGAGGAGAGAGAGAGGAGGGAGAGAGAGAGAGAGAGGGAGGGAGAGAGAGAGAGAGAGGAGAGAGAGAGGAGAGAGAGAGAGAGGGAGGAGAGAGAGAGAGAGAGAGAAGGAGTAAGTCAAGTCTAAAAGAAGCATAGCTATATAAGACCAAAGCACACTTTTCACAGTAGAAGTAAAACATACTGCAAACACGTACGTACGTACGTATGTATATACATACCTCTGTCCACATAGACTTCTGACGACGATCTTCTCAGTCTTCCAGAGGCATCTGAATGGAAACATAGATTACATCATAAAACGTGAAGCATTTTCATGGTTTGAGAGCTACATATACATTTGCACAGCAGGGCAATATATAACAGACGGTTTCCGCCCTCAAAATATCACAGTCTGAACTCCTTACCTCCATTTTGTTTTTCGGCCACGCCCCCAGCACCCGCCCCCTTCTCCTTGTTATCAGACATGACGACCGGGGCACTGTTGCTGTGGATCAGGTGAACGAAATTCGGTCGAACTTTCTGAGTCTGCGTCACGAAACCACTCGAGGACTTTGTCGGGAGAGAGAAGAACGTCTCGTTTATGTCTGCGTATTGTCGACCGAACTTTAACCCCGTCACCTCCGGGACAGACACGTCGCTGGTTCGTCTGTTGTAAGTAGCGGACATGGAGCGACGGCGGTACTGATGGGCTATCAGTGAGTAGTCGACTGTTGGCGGTTCGGGCTGGGCTGTAATTAGAATAACAAGTCCCCAAATAAAGTGAAGATCTCAAAGAAATATCAGGTGTTAAAAAAATAGACAAAAATGTTAGTTTTTAGTATAATTATACCTAACTTTCTAACTTTCTCTCTCTCAACTCACAGTGGGTTCGGTCAGGAACAGAGGTCAGTCTCTCTTCTCCCTCCCTCTCCTCGGTGATCATCCCCTCTCTGGAGTTCATGGCCTGCAGCTTCAGAGCCCCCTTGAGAGGTGGATACATCTCCTGACCCGGTGTGTCTATTCCTATATACAGCACACCACACATAAGACAGTATTCATAGTTAAATTTAGTGTACACCATGTTTTAGCCTAGAGCCATTGTGTTCACTTTAAAAAAGTAAAAACAGCGCCACACAGAAGACAGTAAAAACAGCGCACTAAACTACAAGCCTGTACAACATTTCCGCAGAATACGAGCGTAAGTAGTGTTTTAACTGGTTTGTAGTACATTGGGTGACTATCGAGAGAGAATTATTTTGCTGATTTCATGCACAAGTTTTGTTCATGGAAATTTTCCCAGTGTAAGGTATGATGCATAATTAGTATACTGGAAAGTTGACAGGTGTGTGAAATAATAATGAAAGTGAAGGTGAAAGTGGCCACGCCCACTCACCGGAGTCGTTAGGGTCACCAATGGGGTAGACTTCGCTCTGTTTCCTGTCGTAGTGAGACGATACCCCGGAGTCTTGCGAGGGTCGCTTGGCCCGCGTCGGAATGTCCAGACTGACGTCACTATCTGGACCTGACGCCCGCACGATCAGGTGGGGTAGCGAGGTGGGGAGGGTGTGGCAGAAAGACTCCGCCCCTTCCATGCTAACGAACTCCGCCCCCTCGGCAGTGAGGGAGGATCCGTCTTCTTGTTGTTCAGAGAACTGGGAGCAGTCGATGTCGAAATATTGCTCATACTCACAGGCTGCGTGTGAGTGGGGAGTAAGAGGTAAATAGGGGGAACGCAGGGAGCAACATTTAACCCTTTACAAACCGAAATGTCATGTACATAAAAGTTACTTTCGGAATGGAGATGAAAATTTGCCCTCTTACTATATAGAAGTTTGAGGTGTACCAAACTACTACCACAAAAAGGCTGCCTTAGACTGCATACAGACCAAAAAAGTTGTGCAAAAGTGGTATATTCAGGTTTAGTTGTAGTGGCTCACCATCCTTGAGGGCAGAGTAGGCCATGAGCTGCAGGGCAGTTGGCCGAGAAGTGGGGTCGACGCAGAGGGTGTCTCTGAAGATGGCACTGACTTCCTCCGGCATGTCTTGCTGTGACTCTAGTGAAGAGAGCGGGATCAGCTTCTCTATGTCCTCGTTCTTGTACATCCCCAGCTGGAAGAGAAGGAGGGTGGGAGAAAAGAAAGAGAACATCAAACAACATAAGATCTGTTCACATTGTGAATACACTTAATCCGCGTAAGGTTATCAGACTGCATGTTCGGTGCATGTGTGGTACTAAAGGCTTGCGCATTACTTCGCTCTGCGCCACTTTATATTCTCATTTCGTCTCTTTCCCCCCCCGACTCTGACTGAGTCTGACAAATCTCTACATGTAGAGATTTGTCAGACTCAGTGTACCACTATTAATGTTACTACACCAACTGATAACATTATTCTTTCAGTTGAAATGAAAAAGCACTGAAGTGCAAACCCTTGGCGAACTGCGCTTGCGCGATACCGCTAATTGATGGGCTGGGCCGTAGTATGCGTTTACTCGTGGTCTCCCGCTAGTAGTTCGCGGAGAGTCTGACACGGGCTAGCTATAGTAGTAGATAGCATGCGGGAGTCGATACACGCCCTTCGTTGTGACGTCTTGTGCCTCCGAGGTACGCAGATCAAGCACATCTTGTCGAGGTAAGCCCGCGCTAATTTGCATATTGGCTTGTTCACTTGCTTTTCACGCCATAACTTTTTGAACGCGGTACTTTTACGAAAATCGCCAGTTTTAAAATGAAGCCAGTGTAGCGCTGAACCCGTTGGTGTCGCTTTTTGGCCTGTTTGTTGCGCGTGGTGGCAGAAAACGTGGTAACAGACAGACAGACAGACACACAGAACGACTACCGTAACCCTCGCTGCGCATGCATGCCGAGGGTTAATCACTCCACTCTGCCTTACCGTGTACATCATGCTCTCTCTAGACATAATCTCAGTGATGCATCCAGGTAGTCGGGCCGTCAGTAGCTGAATGAGGACACATACGGTGCTCCATATATCACTGGAGAATGACGGGACATCGCCTCGAATGATCTGTAGATTACAGATAATATACAGGGAAAATACTAAAGATTACTGACCAAATTTACTGACTTATTCTCAAGATTACTGTGAAGATTACTGACATTGACACATAGGAATACAGAGATTACACATAGAATACTGAGAGAATACTAAGAACATACTGATTGAGAATACTGAGATGTTTTAGTAAACTACCTCTGGGGAGGTGAAATGTGGAGTAACTCCTTTCAGTTTCGATATGGACCCAGCAATGTCGTCTATGTGGGCAGCCGTCCCAAAATCGGTAAGTTTAACCCTTCGCCCACCCTCCAGCACCAAGACATTCTCAGCTACAATTGACAAAAGACAGAAAAAAGTGATACCAGTGCTTTCATTTTTAGTGTACCAATGATTTTGAGAGAGAAAATTTTGTGGATCGTTTCGAATGCTCATGCACAAAATTTTAAGGAGAATCAGCAAAAATGTGTTTTCAGCTCAAATTTTAGTGACATAAACATAACCGGTATATAAAATATCCAGGAAAAAATTCGCTACCACGAAATTCTCATCTGCCAATGTACCTTTGATGTCAAGGTGGAGAATGCTGAGTGAGTGAAGATGGAAGACACCCTGCAGAATCTGGTAGAGATAGAAGAGGCTCTGGTCCAGTGGGAGGGGCTCCAGCTCACCCTCGTCGCTCTGTAACATGCTCGCCAGACTCCCGTCTGTGGGGGCGGAGCAAGGGGCGGTGCTATTACGTCACACAACTACACGTCTACATTCTATAAGTAGTAACTAGAAGAACAAGCTACTTGGTTTTACCGAGGGAGAATTTTTGAGTGTAAACCTTCTTCTGTGGGATTCTAGAAAGGAAGGTGTCCTCATTAACTCAGAGTGTCCTAATTCGAGAGGTGTCCTGATCTGGCAAGTGCATGAATTGAATATCTGGTGTGAAGCTCTAATTACTCATGCATGCATGGGTTTATTATGCGCACACAAAGTGTATCCTTATACAGCAGGAGCTATTATTGCACTGAGATAGGACATAGTTCCACTGCCTGACCTGACTTCCTGCCTTTGACTCCGGCCACCAAACCCCAATGTATGTGTGTGTATACTTCCCTGGCATCTGGCCTATGTATATACCTGGCACAGCTTGGAACACACAGACGTGTAAGACACAGAGGTCAACCATCGAGAATTGGCACTCTTCTAATGTTACTTTCCTAGCATTCGGGTAGGGCCTTGGCACAGAACACACGCACACACACACACACACACACACACATCTCCACAGACTAGGAGAGTGCTGGATATTAGACACGGCATGGGGTCACCACAGGCAACCATCGATACATTGACACCCTTGTCTGCCCACTAGCCTCAATCACCCATCCGGAAAGCTATAGCCTTTTCAGCATCTAAACATAAGGAATGTGCAACCTACGAGAGTGAATCCAAGTACTTGAAGTGGGCTTTCAGTCACACCAGGAAAGGTGCTGTCACCGAGTAACACGACTAGTTACAACAGAGGGTTACTACTTACAACAGAGTCTATAAAACGATGAGTAACACAAACAACGAAGCTGTTTCGACTACCCACAAACCCGAGTTCCGTTTTCATTCCGGCTCATGTTCAGACCACCTTGGCCACAGAGCCAGGAAGCCAAAAACCACCGGGAGACCACATCCTGGACCAGCTACATACCTTCTCTCTCCCTATCTTTCTCGGTTTCCTAGTAGCTCACACTGAAGGCATGGAGCCCGGTGGACTACGTACTTCGCCACAACTCCCACACAAAAGCCGGTGTACCTCATTCCCTATAGATTTATACTACAACCCTCCGTAGTGCATGTGTATTTCTACTATTCTCAGTCAACCAGGGCAACTAAGAGGATTACTATCACAATCTTTCCTTCCTCAACCTATTTAACCTCTTTTACAGCTCTTCCCCTTTCCCTCCCTCCCTCCTCCCTCTCCCTCCTCTCCCTCCCTCCCCTCTCCCCCTGTACCTCCCTCCCTCCTCTCCCTCCCATTCACAACTCACGTTCGGCTAGCTCCATCATTAGTCGGCAGTGTCTCTGAGCTCCGTCTTTGGCCTGTTCTTCCTCCAGAACGGCTCCAAGAAAAGTGGTGATGTTCGTGTGGGCAGGAATCCTGGACAAGATGTCCGACTCTGCTTTTAGAGTGTTCACCATATTCTCGTCACTGAATTTGTTGGATTTTATGACAAAGATCTGCAGTAGAGCGACGAGGGGGAGGAGAGGGGGGGGGAACAAGTAAGTTAGCAAGAGAATAAGCTTAGTCTTTACAGTAGTGAACCCTCTAATAAGAACACTTCTGAATAAAGGACACTTCTCTATAAAGGACACATTGGCTCTGCCCCATACTACCTCCAAATAAGAACACCTCTAAATAAAGGAATATTTCGATGTACCCAAGGTGCCCCATAATCAGAAAAGTTTCAATGTGCTATAGAAACATTGTGTTGAAAGTGAAACTTGCCTTGTCTGTCTTGTAGTCTCTGGCACAGGCACATGTTCCGAAGCCGCCAGTTCCGAGATGTTCGTTGAGATCATAGTCTCTTCTGTGGAGATAGCGTCCATCCCTGCCCTGAGTCAGGAACTCCTATGATGGAGAGAGAGGAGCGGAGGAGAAGCGGGGTATATGAGGAAGGAAATGCCATGATCAATAGAGAGGGGAAGAGGGGGAGGAGAGGGGGGAAACAGGAGGGGGCGAAACGGGTTATTAATACGGAGGGAATGCACCCATTGACAATCAGATATGACCCCTGTACTGGAATTTTACCGCCACGTTCGATGACCTTATTCTGTAACTACGGGAGCTATGTACACATACAGCTGGCCTGCCTACAATAGCTACTGACGTATAGGTATAGGTCATGCAGCATGTACTGAAGGAAGGAAGGAAGGGCATTACACCACAATCTATAATATCCTGATCACTCTGGACCACAAACTAAGGGAGACAGTATATAAGTGTATGAGCTGATCATTGTTGTTTTTCTCTCTTCAACGAATCAACCATCATATTATTACAAGGTTCAGTAGTAAGGGACTACAATTGATGTGGGGGTTTACTGATACTGGCCCCCAATAAGGAAACTGCGGGATTCTGTTACTAGCTCTGGCATGTGATGTGTGTGTGTGTGTGTGTGTGTGTGTGTGGTGTGTGTGTGTGTGTGCACAAAGTCTGTCACTCAGAGGTTACTACACACAGCCACTGCCTTACCAAATCAATACATGAACACACTAATTCATGCTACCAAAACCACCATGTATAGAATCAAACATACATAATGGACATACATATGTAAAGGAGTAAGGAGGGAGGCAGAAAACTCACTGGTTCAAGAGGGTGCAGAATAATCTGAGAGGGATACTTTGACCGCGCCTCACTGGACGGATGCTCTTCGATCGGCGACAAAATCCCGGCCCCCACGGGATTGTACTTTGACCCCTGCGAGGAGGGGGACACGGCAGCCGAGGGGTTCGAATTTTCCCCGGGGGCAAACTTATCGAGGGGTCCGTCGGATTCCATCGAGCGCATGATCTCGCTGGCTCTGAGACTGAGGTTCCCCTGGAGATATCTTGGGAGCGTGCCGGCTCCGACCTGACGAAGGTCCCTGACAAACGAGGGGTAGTCAAGGGGGCTCATGGGGGACATGTCGTCCAGACTCCCCTGACTGTTGAGCGAGAGGAACTGCGGGGGGTGCGGGGAACCGAGGGAACTCTGGACGCTGTTTGATCTCTGAGGAGGCCCCGGGCGTCTGGTGGTTGCGCCCGCCAATCTGTTCTTAGCGTCGGGGCAGAGAGTCACGAAGCAGTTTTCGTCGCTGCACTGGGCAGCGTGGAGAAGAATCCTTCGCTGGAAGTTTTGGCAGTTCTGACAGACTTGGCCACAGGTGATGAGGTGGCGCCACTGGTCTCGGATCGTCGTGCAGTGGGCGTGGCTACAGGTTGCCCAGCGCTCCAGACCAATCTCCTGGCGACAGTAGAAAGCTTGTAGGAGTGTCTCATCATGTTCCGGAGCCTGAGGAGAGAAATAGAGGAATGTTGACACATTATGAAACGAGCTCAAAACTGTGACCAAAAATTCTGAACATCTAACAAACAGTACTAACACATTATGTAGTGTCTATAACACAGCTCTAGAAGTGAGGGGAGCGAAAAAAAGTTAAAATAATGGTGGCAGAAATTTCACACACACGACACTGCAATGACAAGACAACATACTACAACTTATTGCGGAAAAGTACGCTCTAACATTCATTTACATGGCACCCAACACCGCAACAACCCACTAAACACATTGTTATGCATGCATCTGCATGCAGGGAATGCAAGAGCATAATTATTAAATTCACTCTTACATGACACCCAACACTTAACAACCAACTATAAACACGTTGTTATACAACTAACAAGCCACCAGCTAACTGTATCTGCATGCAAGAGTATAATTAGATTCACAGTTTCCAGGAAAGCCAGGTAGGTATTATAGCGGCCAGTAGGAGTGTGTGTAGGAGGGAATACACATTATACATAGGAATCATGCACCTGCGGGCGGGGAGAAGGAGGAAAATATAGGTATTTCTAAGGACACCTGATAGCTGCCACCACTGGATACCTTTAAAAATAGAACAGCATTTAGGAGGTGGTCCAGCAACTGGGGTGTGAGGTCTGGAAATAAGATAGTGTTTCAACAACAGATTATGCATGTCTCTATATGAGTTACGATATGAAATTCGGGAGGGGTTGCTGTGTGTGTGTGTGTGTGTGTGTGTGGCTGGCTGGCATGCAATGTCAAAAGTAACAGATACACTATTTGTATTTGGGTATTTTCTACAAACGGAAAAGGTTTCCAAAAGTAGCTGATGCAAGTATAAGACATGCTTTCTAAGCTCGCTCTCTGTGGTTTTGTGCATGTGTCCACAGCATGCACGAGTCCACCAATGCACAAGATATACACGAGGACATGTAATTTACATGTACATGCATACAAGCACATGTAAATGCCCCAGACACATCGGCTACACACATGCACCGTACTGCAGTGGAGTCTTTCCCCCAAGGGATAGACATGCAGTGTTGAAGTCCACTAACGTGTGCCTCGGTCTACAACTCTCTCAAGGTTACAGATATTCACACAGGCAGTTTTCCGGCCTAGGGATTTTCTTGGAAGCAACAAACCTTCCCTAACAATCACTAGACTCTAAGAGTGTGTAAGTCACACTATTCATGGTCACAGTCTGCACAACAGCAAGCAGCTATATACACCTTGGGGGGTTTTGTATAGTACTGCACTTGGTTGCAGAAGGTCTAAGGTTCATATTAGCTGTACACCACAGCATATTATTGCGCTAAATATAGAAGCAAATAATGCTGAGAACATGTGGCAGCATATTTTATCTAATTCCAAATTTCCCACCCAACCAGCAGAGTAGTTCCAAAATACAAGATCAGCCTTCTCCCAAAACCCTAGACTCCTCGGCTACTTAGTACTTAGTACTCATCAATTGCCATAACGACCAGGGTAGGGACTGACCTAGGGACGTGACACATATTATTAGCCACCAAAGGGGTCACCTGACGGGCACCCAAGTCATGAATAATGTCGATAAACTGCACACTGAGCGGATAAGTTCAAAGTGTGTATGAAAGTCAAGCAGTGACATCATGAAAATTAGTTTTAGCAGCTATTTGCACAGATGCACTCTGTTTTTGGTGTGTGTGTGTGTGTTTGCCAAACGGAGGGACGAAGGGATGAGGGGGGTTGGGGTGTGAGCCAGAGAGACAAATAGAAACCAACTAACCAAAGTTTGCCTGTTTATTTTCCTGAACTGAAACAGAAATTCATAGAAGGTCTAGGACATGACATGGAACACCCAGTTTGCATGAGATTTTCACACCCTAGTTATCCAAAGCCGTTCACTGGTGGGAGAGAGTAACCCCCAAGCTGGACATTCGTAACCTCAAACTCTCCCCGCTAGTCATAAACAGTTCTCGGCATAAGCATTAGCAGTAATGAGTGGATACACACAAACACATAGTACATGTACGTACAGTACACAGGAGCCAAACGAATGGCTAATTATACAATAATTCGAATTAATTACTGACCCTGGGAATTTGACTCAAACACTGACACAGGCCTGGTTTCTCGACTTTGTTTCTCGACTTTGTTTCTACTGGCAGAGTTGCCTCTGTGCATTTTTGTTGTCTATTCTTTGACCTGTATACATATATACCTACCACAACCATCTGAAGTGTATTTATGGAGAAACACAGGGTGGCTGGACAGGACAGGTATAATTAGGCCCTCTATATACCAGTATGGCAGAGGAAGACCCAGTACAGAATGAAGGATTGGTACAACATCGCCCATGTGACACCCACCCACCCTCCAACAAGCCCGACTGCCTCCAAATTAGCTGGCGACAAACACAGACTAAGGTAGCTGTGGGTTCTGTGATGTGTGGGAAGGCACAGGAGGGGAGCGAATGAAAGGTGTTAAATTCCTTCGTCTAAACACCACACGGGCAAAGTAGAGTAGCCACGGTTGTGAAAAACCACTGCACATGTGGGCGAAGGTTAACTACATATCTAGCTGTTGCTATCTTGCAGCTACAGCAGCGGTTTCATACGCAACTCTACACGCGCGAGCTTCGCCCACACTTACTTGCTTTAGGCCTAGGCTGGCATTAGCCCGAGGGTGGTTCAGGGAGGCTGGTAGTTGCCTATCTTCACGGCTATCAGACATGATGGTTCCCGGGTCCAGAGGCGAAGAGACGGGCGCGGCGGTAGAGGCAGAGCTGCAGGCGACGGCCGAGGGATCAGGAGAAGGCGGGAGGGAGAACACGGTGAGCGGACCACGCGAAGGAGTCAGAGGGGAAGGCGAAGAAAATACCCCCGAGTCGTCACGAGTGAGGACTTTTTTCTGACGTATGAGTAGGGACTCTCGATCCGGTGTACAAGTAGATGCTGATGTCTCGGAGGCGGAGCTCGACTGCTGCACACGCGAACACATTATTCATATGGCCTGAGTTCTTATGCGGAGAGGACGTCGTATTACAGACACAGAATCGGCACACCTGCGCTTTGAATTCTCACGAGCCGGTAACACGACACCTTTATGGCACACTATACGTGGACACTGCTCCACCCACACGCCACGCCTTGTTGCCCGTGCTAAATATAGAATGAGGGAAGCCACAACTTTCTTTGAGATATGCAGTAGTACAAAACCTCCTGTTGTAGTATGTAGACTTTATTAAAGTAAATAGAAAAATGCAAATGCAGACTAGTTATAATAAGTTCAGTCAAAAAAGTAAACCTTCTTTCGGAGCCTAGTGGTTGCTTCGGGTGCCTGTCTATAGCTTCTGTTCTCGTAGCCTGTACCGACTTCATTGTGGACTTTGGTGACCATCGATTCGAGGTCCACGTAGCGAGATAAGGAGGAAAAAACTCTGCATATTTCGGAGATGTACCACGATCCGTGATCCATGTCTCGCCAGGCAACCTTCCCCGGAGGAGTCGCATTACCAACGAAAAAATCAGCGTCGTCTGGAATTGCAACTGGCGTGGAGTCGGACACTATTCGAACAGACTCGGTAGCATCAGACGGTAGGGATACGGTGCCTGAATCAGACGCTATTTGTCTCCCGCGGACTTTATCATGTCCACGACAAGCCTGAACGAAAAACACTTTGGGTTTCCCGGCAAGCGATCTGCACGAGTCTGCAGTGAGTTGAGCGACTATCGAACGAAAGTTTACGCTCTTGCTATCGGTGCCAAAAACGTGTCCGTCTTCCCCGTGAGAGAGAATGCAGACCACAAACGAGTCGTATTTCGCGTGGTCACTACTGCGATAATAGCTGAAGAGGGATTCGATTTGGTGGGCTGTGAGGTTGCGATGTACTTCGACATTGTAGCCCAGATACCGAAAGCATTGGGTTAGATTAGCCTCGTCAACTTGCGTGCCCACACGCTCAGTGTGTGAAGAGAATTTCTCGTTGTTGATGATGGCACAAACTCCGTGCGGCTCGGAGCTCATTTTGTACGAATCCAAGACTCTTTCCAGAGAGCGCTGTTCGATTGTAACCACGCCGAAACTGTACTCAATGGCAGTGGAGTGTTTGGCTGACTTGTGGGCAGAGAATCGAGTGACTTTGAGGCCGTAAGAGTCGATGGAGATCGCCTCTCCATCTCCTTCAGTTGACTTGGGTATAATAAAAGGTGCTGTGTGTACAAAGGAGGCTATAATATAGAGATGCACTAGGACATGAATGACTCACTTTTGTCGGCAGTTGAAGGAGGTATTGGTATCGTTTGCTGGGTTGGTGATGTAGCTGGAAATGTAGCAGCATTATCTCCAGTGGACGAGGAATCAGCTGGCACTATGGGAACAAAAGATCAGTAAATAGGTGCATCTGAAGTTTCATTAGACGCGCTGACTTGGGTGGGCTTCGGCGATCTCGTCTGCAAGAGCTGGATATTGCCCGCCAGCCTTGGCTGCAATAGCCTTCACCAGACTCCTCCAGGTAGGAGGGCCAAACTTGTCGTCCATGTAGTCTCTTCTTAGCCAGACGGAGATAGCTTCGTCCATGCAGGCGTCCAAGTCGCCGCGGTGTTTGGCCCTGATGGTCTGGACTTGCGCAGGTCTGAGACCCAGAGCGTGAGCGACGCCCTGCCACTTGTGAAGAACGTCTGTCACTGCATCCCTCACCTCCATGAAGTCATCGCCTGCAGTAGAGTCAATGGCTAGCCAGCTATCGAGTATCGTCAATTGCCTGCTCTCTATTTCTACAGTTGTAGCTCTAACTCACTCACTCTTCAGTATGCGATCATCCACGCCTTTTGCGAGGACGACCGTAGATCCTGCCATCTTGTCTGTTTCTTGTTTTCAGCTCGCAAGAAGGGGGGCGTGGCTTGTGTGCGTGGCTTGTGTGCGTGCTTTGCGGTATAAATCAGCTCGTTAGCACCTTTTTACTACCTCGTAGCCAAGTGTTTTATGGCGGAGGCTTGTGTAGCAAAACAAGAGCTTTTGGAGCAAGAAAGAGAGGCGACAGAGCAAGCCGGCAGCACGACCAAGAACATGGCGGGAGCTCAAACGAGTAAGACTCAGAGCTTTACAAGCGGTTCCTTTGCGCGAGTCAGTACTATGTAGCCGCAAACTTCACCCACAGAAATTTTCAGCCAGTTGTGCGAAGATTTGCATCCACTAGCAGCGCAGTGGAGAACTCTGGGCACTCAGCTCAACATCTCAGCCGCAGAGCAGAACGCGATAGAGGGCGAGAAAAACCGGTGCCAGAACTGCCTGGAGAAGGTCCTTCAGGAATGGTTGACGGAGAGCGAGGGTCCGCACACCAAGGCATTGCTAGTTGAAGTGCTAAAGAAGAAAGCACTCGGACAAACCAGGCTTGCTGGAGAAATTTCAAGAAACAAAGGTTCGCACATTTGGACACAACAGCTAAAACATGATAGTTTTTCTGGCATAGATATTCCAGACGATTTCGACACCAACAAGGAGGAATCATTGAAGGTTCTCAGCGACAAGCTGAGCAAGATTGCACACAAGTATTCCCCTCTCGGCATACAACTGCTGGACGACCCTGACATTATCAGCCAGATCGAATCGAGGGTGATAGACGTGGAAAGCTACCTCACTCAGATTCTGAAGAAGTGGAGGAACAACCAAGACGGAGATCTACCGCTCTCAGAGTTGCTGGAGGCCGTCCGAAGCAAGACTATCAACAACCAGAAACTGGCGCGGGAGTTGGAGGATAAATGGACACAAAAAGGATTCCGTAAGTCTCACATATATAACTCACTTCTACTGATCGCCAGAGTAACACACAAATTTTGTTTTTCCCCCTCAAACAGTGGTGGCACCCCTTGAGGCAGCAGCAGATGGTCCTGATGGAATGGACATAAACTGAAGCTTTTCATTCCTCAGTTATTTTAGAATGAGAACTTTAGTATTTTTATGCAGAAGTGTGTGATTGTAACGTTCAAAATGGGATAGTTTTTTTATAACAAAATTGCCAACTCCAGAACATTAGATCATCAAAGAACTAAGACCCTATATTATATGTAAGCAAAATCCAAACAACCACTTGCTAGAAATCATTCCCCTTGCAATAAAAATCTGTGCACATGTGCACTACAAGCTCTCAACATTTTGAATGGCAGTCATAATACATGAATAATAGCAGAGCATTTCTCTTTCTCTCTCTCTAATGAATGTGACATAATTCCGTAATTTTCCGCATGGCACACGCCCCTTCAATCGCGACGTGGGGATCGTGCCGAGCCTTGATGATACCTACAAGATACTGACCAGGTAACTAGTAGCTATACAAGTGTAGATTAGCAGATCGCATTTTTCTACCCGAACGCTAGTTGCGAAGGCTCCAGCCATGCATGTTGGGAGGGACGTTGACGTTAGGTCGTTAGCCAAGACGGGCGTGAAGTGTAGACCGAGAGGGTCCCATAGCATTGTTAACCTTTGCTTTATTCTTTATCAGGAGGAGTGGTAAGGTTTGGAGAAATTACTGTTCGTTGTTGTGGTTCGTCACTGTCGGTATGCTAATCAGCCCCGCTTCTGCACAAGGTTGTTGGTAAAGGCGTACTATCATGCCATTATTATGACACTAATACATTCTCACAGGGAATGATACAATAATATCCACCGGTGCAATTGCTGGAATAGCTGTATCTGCTGCTTTAGTTGTGTCTATTGTGGCTATTGTCGTTGTTATTGTTGTGTGTATTGGTAAGTTGAGAGGAGAGATGATGCATGGGAAAAGTTCTCTTGTCATTTTTTTAAATTGTCTATAGCAAGACCAGTGAAATTGTAGTAATGAACCCTCTAGGCAGATAGCATAATTATGGTGAGTTATCCAGCGCTCTTTGTATATATTATGTTGGTGTGTGATTGTGTTTTTCAGGGAATGGATCCAGAGAAGTGTCCATGTCTGTAAGTTTATTCATTGATGTACGAGTCTACAGAGTCGAGGAGGGTTTGTGTCTCCCAGCAAAAAAGGTGGTACTACTGAAAAGAGAGATCGCGAGCGCCCAATTTATCGAGGTAATATTTACCACGCGCCTCAACCTTTGAGAAGGCCAATGAGATAATGATTGCTGACCCATAAAACCCTCACAACCCTATGGCATGCCATTTGTCCCAGAATATTAATATTAATCTTATGACATTCATTTGATGTTTGACAAATGGCATGCCAAAATAATAGTGCCGTATGGAAAGTATGTGCAGCGCTAACACCTGTCTGATCTGTCTCCATGCAGGCCCCACCGATTGATAGTCGCGTGGTAAGCATTGCTTGTTCATAACCTGTGCTGGGGTCGATCTGACACGGCTGCACATGTTCATGCTGCAATGCATACAGTCCATGTGATACGTCCCTGCAGGCACGATACTTACTGATTCTCTTGCAAGACCTACAGTGGTACGTGAGGAAATGTAATCACCTGAGCAGTAGCGTCACTCCTGAGCTGTGCTAGATAGAATATTATCACTTGATATAGTTTATCATCACCAGAACTGTATATTATTATGTAGGCCTGCACGTCGCGTAGAAGGTCCATCAGCACCCGCTCACGGGCACTGTCCTCGCAACGGTAATGGGCGTGGCTGGTATTCGCTCAGCTCAGCTAGCTAAGCATAGAAAAACAAGCGGCTAAGATCCGCCAAGCGTACCTTTTAGGCGCGACGCCTCAGCCGAAACAGGATCTATGGCAAAGGAATCAGAAGATAAGCCACGAAGCAGTGCAGAGGCTCAAGCGAGTAAGACTATAGGCCTACATACCGCTGTCTCCGTAGTGCACATGTGTGCAAGAGCACGAAACGCATTATTTGCGAGATTGTATTTTTGAACAGGTATCTCAGAGGCACAACTTTGTGAAGACCTGCATGACCTGGCATCGCAATGGAGGCAACTAGGCGTCCAACTCGAAGTTCCACAAGCAACGCTTAACAAGATACAGGGAGGGAAAAACATCTGCCCGGAGTGCCTAGAATGTATCATCGAGGAGTGGCTCAATAGTGACGGGGAGCACACTAAAACAAGGCTGGTGGAAGTGCTGGGGATGAAATCACTTGGAGAGCTCACCTTGCTGACCGTATCTCAAAGTCAGATGACAAAGGTTTGGCAAAATATCAAGGTTAACATTAGCTAGATATTTTAATACAGATATTCCAAAAAATTTTGATGACAAGCCGAAATCGACGCGTATTCTCTGTGAGAAACTAAGCGAGATTGCAAACATGTATCCTGCTCTTGGCTTACAGCTGTTAGGCAGCACAAATGCAGTTAAGAAAATCCAGAAGAGAGTGAGGGATGTGCAGATGTATCTGGATGACATGATTGGAGAATGGTTCAGTAACTACCAAGGGGACAAGTGCTCATTTTTGTTGAAGGCCATCGGAAGCGACACCATAAGCAATCGGGCACTTGCAACTAGGTTGGAAAAGGAATGGAGAGAGAAAGGATTCTGTAAGTCACTTCACCCATACTATTGCAGTCGCCCATAGCAAGATTTCTCTCTCTCCAAACGTGCGCTGAAGAACTCAGCAGCAGATGGTTGGATGAG